GATTTTTAATCGTTCTCGTTGCGCCACGTGTTATTATTCGAAGTATTATTAAGTAATACAAATAATACAAAATTAATCCTGACTTTTTTTTTTTTTACCGTTGAGATCTAACGGTTCAAATTAAGTGACCGTTGAGATCTAACGCACCGTGGGAAGCCACGTGGCTTCCCAACGGTAACTGACAGATTTTTTTTTTTCTAATTTTTGTGTCGGCGACGCACCCCCACGCGCGGGTGGGGTGCACGCGCCTGACACAAAAAAAATAAAATATTACGCTGACGCCACCCTGGCGTCAGCCTGACGTCACGCCCACCTCGGGCTCTCGGGCTGGCAATCCCCCACGGGCCCGGAGCTCGGGCCTCCCCCTTCCATCGGGCTACCCAACGCTGGAGCCCTCCCACCGGCCCTCGGGCCCTTGTTTTGGACCCTGTCCCCCGAGCAAAACCCAACGGTGGGAATGCTCTTAGGGCTTACTTGATGGCTATTTTTCTTTTGTTTTTGTTTCTCACTCTTGGGTTATATAAAAAGGAAATACAAGGAATAAACAATGGATGAATAAGGATACGAGGAGCGGTGGGAAAGATATGGAAGAAATGCACATGAAATGATACACAACTGAAGCTAAAAACAATTTTGATGTTCTTTCTCTATGTCATTCTATGTAGATTATAAATGTTTTATCTACTCTACCAATCTCTATATCTTAACAAAATAAAAAACAAAATGATTTTCAAAGGGGGCTTAATTAGTTAATTAGTTTTTACTGTGTAGTCGTTTATCATATTTAACCTCTCTAGTCTTGATCGTGGCCTATGCATAATCATTATTTAATAAATTTTATATTATTCTACATGTTGCAATCCTATTAGTTTAGGAATATGTTCATGTAGATCTTATCATATCTTGGAATATTATTATGGGACTCTACCATATTTTATACTTAAAATTTGGTCTTGTTAGAGTTGTAATCCTATTGAGGTAAGGAATTTACCTTACCTACTGCTATAAATAAAGGTACAATGAATGAGATAACACACATCTTAGAATTACACATCTCTCTCTTCTCTCTTGTTGCCGCCCCAAATCTCTCTCTTTTTTTCAATTACTTGGCCTACAACGTTATTTGCACGCTCTTGCCTAAAACTAAGGAAACTGACGCTAAGGAACTGTAGTTTCGTGGGAGGAGTTTTTTCTACAAATTCAAATGCTCAATTGTTTTCTGCTAATCAAGTTCTCCTAAAATTCTGTTAGATATTTTTGAGGACCATGAAACTTGAAAACATTCCCCGTGATGCATGAACCACCTACATTTATATTGCTTTACTATATATATCTTATATGTTCATATATTTGTCAATCTATACATACATATATACATATGTTCATGCATAACACAATTATAAATTTGCTATGTGGAATTTGTGAGTCAAAAAATCGAAAGAAAATAGAATCAATTAGGATTTTATCAAAACCCAAAAATTTCGAAGAAAAAAAAATTAAGGTTTTGTGGCTAAGCCACAGCTATGAGCCACACCAAGCCACGTTGGCTAGCTTGCAGCTAAGCCGTGTTGTGCAGTGCTCTGGGCAACATTGTTTGATGTCTGGACCAACAGCAGTAGCCTTCTAGGCTTGCTGCACGTGAAGACAACTATGCCTCCGCATAGGTTTTGTTTTCATAGGGCCTGCACCCCCAGCCCGCCTCCAGCAAACTTGCAGCTTTGTTGGGCCTTGTCTCCTGTGCCCTGGCCCACTTCTAGCAAGCCTAATGCTTGTTAAGCTCGTCTCCCCATCTCGGCCCGCCTTCAGCAGCCTCTTGCGCTGCTCAACTTCATCCTTTACCTCGACCCGGTGCTCTATTGATGCTGGGTTGTACCCTGCCTCAAGAGCCCAATGTGTTGGCGGGCTGTGTCCACTGCAACCAACAATCACATGCTGGCTTGCGTACTTTTTTCGATCCAATGTCATATTTTGGTTAGGGGTGGGCAAACGAGTACAGGAACCGTAGGTCGGGATGGGTAAGGGCCGGTTCCTATTTTGTAAAAACAGAAATGAGGCGGGACGGGACAGGCCTTTGAAATTTTCGGTTCGGGCCGATTCCTAAAGTATAGGAATCACGAGTACCCAGACCAGCCTGTTTGTAGTTAGAATGGATGGACAAGATTGAAGAAATCATCTCTTCATCCAATTTGAATCGTTGGTTTTAGGTTTGTTCGTCATTAAACCTGTTGAACTCAACTGTTACTCTTACTCTGTCGATCGAGTCTCTCTTGCCATCTCTAGTGCGTTGTCCCTTTCCCTCCACCACCCCGACAGCACGACGGCCCAAGTGACCACCATCTTCTCGATTTGTTACCTTTCTCTCATCTCTCTCTCGCCATCTCGATTTGACATCCCAGGGACCCAGACTTATAGAACCCAACCACCCCACCTTCATCTTCTCGATTTGTCACCTCTCCTTCGCCGTTTCGAGTGTCGTCCCCTCCCCTCATCGAGGAGGACGAGATTCAAATCTTGCAAGTTTACTTCAAGGAGATTAGCAAGCGCATGCTCGACACCATCAAGTCTAGGAATGTGGTTGCTTCCACTACTCAAAACAGTGCCACGAAGTCTGAGACTGTGAGCTCTACGGTGGAATCTACCACTACTGCTGCCATTGAGGATGATAAGGCCAAAGAGTACAGATCTTTCCATGTGTGTTAGGTCACTCTTAGCTTCATATTAGGGCTTTCATATCAAGATCTATTCGTATTTATCATGGATTTCTTGTGATGCCTATATACTTAATGACCTGCTAAATATTTAAACTTTGTGAATTTCACTATGCACTTCAATTTTCTTTAGATTATATTATCTGGGTTTCTGTTGTGAGTATTGATCTACTAAGTCTTGATCTGATTTGTTAGGAGATGTTTATACTCAAGATTTTATAAGGAAGTAGGTGCATTTGGAATTGAATTTTTTCGAAATCTTTCCTCTTGCATTATCTGGGTTTCCTATTGCATAATCTGCTACACTGGTGAATCTGTGCAATCTATGCAAATTCCAGTTTTTTTTTTTCAAAAAAAAAAAAAAAAAAAAAAAAAACAAGGACTCGTGGACCTGGCCCGTTTCAACCGGCCGAGTAAGGTCCTGTTCCTATATAAGAAAATGTAATCCCCAACTCCGCCCAGCCCGTCTCCTTTGCACCCGGGTTCGGTTCAGTCCCTTCAAATTTGGGCTCGGCCTGGCCCGTGCCCACCCCTAATTTTGGCATCCCCTACTTCTTAACCATACCCAAATATTTTTGGAACAATTTTTATGAAAGTCATGCTAGACTATATTTTCGTTATTGCTTAGCTCGAAGCCAACCAAAGCTTATATGACCCGAGCGTCATATTTTGCTTCTATGATCAAACTTGAATGGTTATGATAATCCAAAATTTTTGCATGAAGTCCACTTTTTTGGCATTAACAATTAAATATTTTCTTTATAAGATGGGGGATTATAATAATTTTGTGAACAGGACTGGAAATAGTCAACTTTGTTCCACAATTTCCACTTGTAATAAGTTTAAAGTTCTAAAAAACGCTAGCCGCTAATGGGGTGACAGGCTAAGGCCTAGCGCCTAAACGCTTAGGTTGAGCGGATTTAAGTAAATGTATTATACATTATATAAATAAGTAACTATTTACACTATAAAAACTATTCTTGTATTTTTCTTAGTTTAATTGACAAAAAAGTGTACTATTAATATGTAGTCTAGACATAGCTAAAACAAAATGTAAAAAGATGTTACAGTGGGGTCTTAAAAGAGAAAATAAGGAATCATAATTTTGCAGGGTTGAAGTCGATCGAACGCAGCAAATGGGGTTGAAGGCTACGAAGGAAAACATCCGCAATTGAAACTTCCTCCATGCCTATTTGAAACTTCTTCCATCCGCATTTGAAATTTCCACCATGTCCAATCCCCTATCTTCTCTCTTGTTGCCGCCACAACTCTTTCTCTTTGTCCTTTATATTTTTAAGTCATTTGGCCTACAACGCGTTATCAGCATACTCTTGCCTAAAGCTAAGGAGACACTAAGGAACTCAAGTTTCGTGGGAGTTCTTCTACAAATTCAAAAGCTCAATTGTTTTTTCCCAATCAGGTTCTCCTAAAATCCATGTTAGATATTTTTACGATCAAGAAACATGAAAACATTCCCCATGATGCATGAACACCCTACACTTATATTTACCTTACTATATATTGTATATGTTCATATATTTGTCTATATATATATATATATATATGTGTGTGTGTGTGTTCATGCATAACGCAATTATAAATTTGCTATGTTTAATTTGTGAGTCAAATAATCGAAAGAAAACAAAAGCAATTCGGGTTTTATCAAAACTTAAAAATTTCCAAAAAAAAAAAAAAAGGTTAAGCTGCTGAGCCACGGCTACGAGCCGCATTGGCTGGCCCCCAACCAAGCTGCGCTGTGCAGTGCCCTGGCGACGTCGTTTGATGTCTGGACTACTTTCAGCAAGCCTGATGCTTTATGGGCTCGTCTCCGAGTCAGGACCCGCCTCCAGCATCCTCCTGTGCTGCTTGTCTTCGCCCTTCACCTCGGCCCGCTGCTCTGTTGCTGCTGGGCTGTTGTACAGCCCTTCCCGAGAGCCCAAAACCTGCAGGGAAGTGCCCACTGCATCCAACAATCACATGCTGCGCTGCCTCCATTTCTCCTGTCTAATGCCATATTTGGACATCCCCGCTTCTTAACCATACCCAAAATCTTTGGGGATATTTTTTATTAAAGCCTTACTAGGTTATACTTTCGTTTATTGCTTAGCCCGAAGCCAACTAAAGCTTATATGATCTAAATGTCATTATTTTGCTTTCACGATCAAACCTAAATGGATACAATCTCTTGAATTAATTAAAGTCGCCAATAGTTCATTAATTCGACCAAAATCCAAAAAATTTGGCCTGAAGTTCATTTTTTTAGCATGAACGATTCAATATTTTATTTATAAGATGGGTACTTATAATAATTTTGTGAACGGGACTAGAAATAGTCACCCTATTCCACAATTTCCACTTGCAATAAGTTTTAGGAGTTGGAATAGTTGTATGTATCAAAGACAAGTCAACCCTATTCCGTATTTTCTGCTTGCAATAAGTTATAGGAGTTGGATTAGTTGTATGTATCAAAGACTATGGTAAGTCTTTAATTCAGATTATTGGACAATCTGACTTTATATCCATTAGATTGGCAAGTAAATAAAAATAATATTTTTTCATTAAAATCATGACCGTTCATTCATTGTGCTACAGAGAGTTACTCTATAATCGTCGAAGTTTATAATTCAAAGTTACATGATAATGGTAATGTTGTATTAATTTCAGAGAAATTTAAGGAGATCCAGCAACATCTTCTTCATCAGAGCCTCAGAAGGTACCCACCGTGTTATAGTTTTACAGCCACTGCTAATCATTTTCTTTTATAATTCAAGGCAAAGAAACTAGTTAATTGCTCTAACAAGTTTTCTTCCCTTTAATTTGTAGCTGCAGTGAACCCATCGTCAAGCTTCCCCATGGCAAATACAGGAAGAGATCATACTGCCGTTACAGTTACCACTACGGAATATAATCGCACGACGTCGTTGAAGCAAAGAATCGAAGGAACGAAATGGCTACTGCATCCGTTAGCAGGTAAGAGCTCTTGTTGCATCTTCAAAGTACCTCATTGCCTAGCGAAAACGAACAAGGGCAAGTACCGGCCTCATATCATCTCAATCGGCCCTTATCACTAGGGTGATAAACACGTGGTGATGAAGCAACAACACAAATGGAGATTTCTTGACAATCTTCTCGGTCGAACGCGGTAGGGAGGCCTCCTCAAGTCTTGAAGCATTATTTCAGTGTTGAAGGAAAGCATCTACTCGATTTACTTCACTTGAGTTTTGTCCCCGAACCTCAGGATGATTCGCCTCAAGAGAACGTTGAGTTTATCCAATCGGCGAAAAAGCTTCACGATCTCGCTGGAATTAAGTTCAAAACAGGGGAGGCGCAGAGTTTGCTAGACATCAGATTTTGCAGTGGAGTTCTTGAAATTCCGCGCATAAAACTAGATGATCTCCACACCCATTTCTTCTTAAACTTCGTTGCATTTGAACAATGCTACTCTCATTGCCCAAAATATATAACCACTTACGCTGCATTCATGACTTGTCTCGTCCGCACGCCGATGGACGCGACATTTCTGTCCGATAAAAACATTATCGAGAATTATCTCGGAACCGACAAAGAGGTCGTGCATTTCTTCAAAAACCTCGGCAAAGATGTGCCCTTCGATATCGACAGTATTTATCTCAAGAAGTTGTTCAACGAAGCGAACGAGTACCAAAGAAATATTTTGCACGTGCAGTGGGCGCGTTTCAGATTCAAGTATTTTGAGTCCCCATGGTCCTTCCTCTCTGCTTTAGCTGCTCTGATCCTCCTAATGCTCACCACAATTCAGGCCTTCTTTGCCGTCTACGGATATCTGCGTCCGCCAAGTTCGGGCTGACGGATCAAAGCGGCGGATCTGTCGCACGTCATGCACGAACGAACAAATGACGGGTTGTTGTCTTCTCACTTTTTGTCATTGATATTTTGCTTGTAAATCAAATAATACAGAATACTGTTGAACTTTATGATCTCAATACATTTATGTTGCTAGGTAAATGTTTTCGACAAGTATACAAATTCTATGTTAGTTCGACGTAACTGAACAGCTGGTATAATTTATGAACAGTTGTATAAAATTTATACACCCGATCTAACATATATACAATTGGTTTTAGAGTTTTCAGCACAGTGAACCGCCAAATCAGGTTTGGGGGCTGACCTGAAGAATCTGATGCGAGCCTTTTTCTGGTTGTTGCTACTCCTTTCCACTCTCACTTGAGCACGTTTGGCACCAAGATGAACTTGATACAGTTTAGCAGAAAATCCAGTCTTTAATGACATTATGACGGCAACAAACCGGCGACTGAAAAAAGAGAGTAGAGATTGGTCAGTTACAATTTGACAATGATTACATAAACCACAAGAGCACAACCAATAAACAACAGCATAGGAGGTACACAAATAAATACGTGTTTTGGTTGTCTGAACCTTACTTTTCTGTGGCCAACACCTGCACCAGAACCATAACAAAGAGAGTTCATAACTGCACCAAGAGTGCCGGAGCTAATCTGCAGTGAATTACAGACAAAGAGAAGCTCAGCAGAAAAGAAATCAATCACTGAAAGAGGGGAAACTGTGCATATGGGAGGAAACTGCATAAGTAAAGGCCCGCTAGATAACCATTTCAGTTTTTAGTTTACAAGAAATTGAAAACAAAAACTGAAAACGAAATGGTTGTCAATGCTCCCAAGTAAAACAGAGAGAAGCATTAGAGAATACTCCAATACAAAAGCAGAAAGTCCAGTAAACTTACATGGTCGCACATACAGAATGAACTCCAATTTAATCATGCTTAGAGCCATAATTGGTCGCAGTTTTCAACCACCAAGTTAAAACGCCAGGGGATGGGATTAGCAGGGTAAGGAGTCATAACAGAAGGCGCATACTATTTTGCAACCTCCACTCCTCTCTATTAACACAGGACCACGATAAGATGGAAATTGTTAGTTTCCCACCAACCCATTCACAATAAAAAAATACCAACAAACAATTAAAAATTAGTGAAAGGAAATGTTAAAATTTTAAGATTACCTTAAGAAGCATACGACTTTGCATACAGTAAGCAGTGCTACGATAGATCAATACTCGGGATGATTTTCCAGAGAAGTCTATATGGGGGCCTTGAGCACGCATCATCACCACCAGTCATTGGGAAAAGAAGCCAGCTCATTCTCCAAAATAGAGTGAGCTTCTGAAAATGCCTACAACATCCAATGATAATCTCGAAAGTCAGAAACAAGCATCTGTACACATATGCAGCTAGCAATAGATAAGCATCACATTATCACACAAGGTAATATTGAATATGTCAGAAAATATCATGACAATTAATCCCAAAAAAACACAGCTTACCTTGATACACTGATGTATACGGAAGCAATTACGCCCCACATTATTAGTTGGAAAAAGGGGATCATCAATGTGTATCGGGTCAATACTACATGGAGCAGATCAATATATAAGCAATGCAATAAAGTTAAGAATTTCTCTTCAAGCACAAATAAGAAAACAGAGTACTGCCATTACCTACAACCTCTTTCCCTCTTAATATAAACACCACTTCCCTGTACCGATATACGCATTTGGCGAGGATCAAACACATTCCTAGAAGGAAGAGAGAGATGAAGCGTCAATCGCTATGTAGCTTAAACCATATTATAACGAACTATACAATAATTCAACCAGAATAAACTCAATTCCAATCCAAGAAGTAGTTGCACTGGTCTATAATTAGAGAGAGAAAATCATTATCAGTGGTTGTCTTACCCAAAAAAGTAGAGAAAATTCATCAGAAGGCTCCCAAAGTTCTGCAAGATCATTACTGGTTTAGTATAAAGCAATCTAGCAATAATCATCAGCAAAAATGAGAAACTAAAAAGGGCAACAAGTACAAGTTTGAATGAAAACTTTGAACTTAGACCAGCGGCCAGCCACATGAAATTTGAATATTTTTACAAAATTAGGAACGATACCTCCATTTCTAACTAGTAACTAATTGTTTGGAATGGTTTACTCAAAATATATGGAAGATGGGACCCTCAATCAAATCAACCATTCAGAGGCTCAATACTAATAACTTAGTGAGTTGACTATTCAACCTACCAAGCAGAAAATCAAAATATATTTTTAACCATAAATTACAAATGTCACACATAATTTGGTGCAAGTATATAGTACCTAAAGGTCCTCCACGATACTTGTATGGTACATTATCAAGGGAAAATAAAACATACTAACAAACAAAATTAGAGTTGAAAATAGAAATTTACTTGGTTGATGGGCCGGCCAAGATGATACTCATGCTGGAGAAAACGTGTAATAAGTAATACCTGAAAAAGAGTAAAAAAATACACCAAAAATAATTAACTGGCACAGATGCTCTAAAGAATTCGTTGCATTTTTCTTTTAAACAAGACATGTTTAAGAACAAAAGCCAGATACTCAACCAAAATAAGCAGAAAATAAAATATATTTTTATACAAGATCACTGGCAACAGAACTCAATAGTCCAGAGGAGCAAATACAACACCGTCCTCCAACAGCCAATAACAGCAATTCACAGTATGTTCCATGTTCCAAGCTAGTTGAGTTATGCTAAAATTTACCCTTTGATATGAAAAAACACAAGAAAATTGAGAAGCCAATACATGTAATATGTCGTGTACTTGTGTCATGTTCGTGCTCCCTAAAATTGATCATCATCTTTTAATTCCCTGATTGACCTTAAAACTTCAATTTCTATAATGTTTATAGTGCATTATAATTTAGACCCTGATCTGGCAGCTGCTAGTTAAAAGCATTAATGTTTTAATACCTTTAAAAGGACAATCATTGAGAGAACAAAATGTTCTATGCATTAGTCCAAAAGTTCTACTGCATGCCATCACCTTTGATACCATTTGTCCTTACTGGAAGATGGTGAATCAAAAACTTCAAATCAATTTAATTTACTGACGTTGCACCTTGAAATAAGTAGCGTTACTCACCAAACAGTAGGAACTCAAGCCACCAGAGTAAGACTGATCCAGGCTACGATCTGCCAAGAACTGTTTCAGTACCAAAGCAAGGGGTGTAGCAGCTGGAAACTGCTCAGCGAGATCCTTGACCTGCAAATGACTATTTATGGTTCATAACATATAAATAAAGTATATACGTAAGCTATAAATGTCACCAAAAGCACCTCAAAAATTGCAAGTACCAAATATGCAACAAAATATGCGCAAGGAACTATAGCTAACCGCTTCAAGAAACAAAAGAGAGGATACCTGAGATCCAAAAGGACTGCAAGAATGGATGCTAAAAGACCCCAATTACAATGGTTGACGAAACATAATTTTATCCACCAGCATACAAATTTTGTTTTGACTTTTTTATGCAATCCACTACCACAAGCTTTCACACAATAGTAGCAATTTGCAAGTAACCACCCCACAATTATGTACCACCAAACACATGGGCATAATATAGATGTTACAATCTAATGAATTTTTAGTAACACTTGGGATTTCAACTGAAATACAAAAATTTCTCTCCAGCAAGCCTTGACGTTCCAATCACAGATGTCTTTGCGAGTGAAATATTGGGCATTCGGGTGATACACTTTGAAATCTTTTAGACTAACTTATTAAATATAAACGTCTAACATCAATAATGACAGTTGCAAAACCTCTGTAAAAAATTTAGTTTAAACTTAAACCAATATTTGTAGACCAGGGGTGGAAGAGTGAGCACCTTATTCATTAAAAGTTAAAGATTGGAAGATTGAAGTAGATAAAGCTATATTTCACACTCACACAAAATACAGGCATCTCGCACCCGCACACACAAAAGATTGAGGGAGAGATATATACCAGCTGTGTAGTTTGGAGTCCTGTATGAGATGGAGATTTGAAACTGATGTCAATACGAACTGATACTGAATCCTTTGTAGCATCGTCATTTATCTGTAAGCATTTGGGCACCACAGATTCTTCTAAAACAACCACACTCGAGTTCACATTAATGCCATGCTCACCAGACATGGGAGGTGACTCTTCTTTTGGAGATTGTACATTGGAAGCAGATGAGACAATGAGATCATGGGGAACTTCCACCACAAGCATTATAACAGGTATCTAAAAGCAAGGATAAAACAGTAAGAAAAACCATGAAAGTAAAAGAAGCTTAAATGAAACAGAAGTACAATCAAAAGATTAAAATGAAGAGGACGTACAGCTGTATTTTCCACAGTCTTAAGAGAATCATTTTTTACCCAATCCTGATTGACGAGATACCTAGCGGCATGCTGAAACACCAAAACAAGACTGTCACAGAGCAGGCAACAGGAAAAAACAATCTTAGATATCAGCGGAAAGGATGAAGGGTGCTACATATCAGTTGGCACTGCAAAAACTTAACGAGAAACAAGTCAGTTGACCAGAAAAGTTTATTGATGAGCAGCATATTGAAATTTTATTATCAGGGTCATGTGATGTGAAATAATCAGATAAAAAGTTCAGAACAATCAGGATCCGAAACTCAAAATGTTCCAATAGGAACAGAATGATAAGTGTTCCAAAGTTTATGCAGCCTCAATGAATGTGCACACTATGCTTAGAACACCATAAACAGCTTGCATAGAAAACACAAATGCAGAACAGTGACAAGCTAGTGTAGAACAGTTCCCTTCATTTATTGGAGAGAAAAAAATAAAAAAATAAAAAAAACCAGTTTCTGTACACAGATTTCTAGTAGAAAAGATTAATCAGACGGCCTTTCTATAATAGACTAATTTACAATGTACCTGAAGGCATGTTTCTTTGATACCATTACGCCCCTCCAATATCCCAGCTTCTTTAATGGGTTCCTAAAAATATGTCTGCATATGAGTATTTTTCCAAAAGTACTAGAAAACAGGTCAATGTAACTGAGAGAATAGATCAAGAAGTTTTTTTACCAGGTTCCTCACAGGAGGTAGACAAACCACAAGGTCCACATCACTTGTTGGAAGTGACAAACCGGTTGCAGTTGAACCAAATATGTTTGTCCTGGACCTGGGCCAAAGTACCTGGAGAGACCTTGTAACCCGCTTGACAGCCCAATTTACATAGGGCTTCCTAGCCATATTCTCTGCAGCCACCTTCAGCCCATCATATCAAACATTCAGTAGAATGTAACAACACATGGAACGAGGATCAATGGTACAAATATTGGACAAACATTTTGATTGGAGAAGTTGAAGATAATATACAATGATGATGGTGAAGAATGGATTAAAACAACAATAATAGATCAATTATTGTACCTGCTTGCAGAAAAGGTCAATGTCATCATGGACAAGGTTGTGCATCAAAGAAAGAGACGCCTTCCGGATAGGACAGTTATGCAAATCAGGAGGTTGTAGGGGCAACGCAACATCTGGCTGTACAATGAATATACTTTCTTATGAAGGACTTTTAAACATCAACACAAATTTAAATTTTGTAAGTCAGATGCTACACTTACATGTTCTTGATCACGAGCAAGTTGAGAAATAGCAATCAATCGATCCTGCAACAAGGGTGCAGGAAGAGGTTGAATCAATGGACGGCCAGAAATATTATTACTTCTTAAAGGCCAAACAACTTCAGCACCATCCCTGCGCAAACAAGTTTCCTCCAAGTTAGCTCCATCATGGAACCATCCTCTCATACCCCACTGCCTTGGGCTGGAGCTACCAGACCGAACAGTTGGAAAGCCCCTGTTTTTCCTGGCATCACTCACAGGAGAGGGTGGAGGTGGTCGTGGGGCCTGTGGAACAGAAAGCACCACGGGCGATGGTGGCCGCTTTATCCGAGGTTGCTCACGCCTTGTAGGAGGAACACATGGGCTTCTGCGATCATAACTACGCTTAAACTCTCTTGACCTTTCTCTTGAAATGTTTGGAATGATGATTGGCCGTAAAATGGGATAAGTAAGCAAGTCTCCTGTCTTCCCTTCAACATCACCATTTACATCAGCCAAAGATCCAGAGGATTCCTCATCCGCTGCTGTGTCTGTCATTGTTGATGAGGAATGCAGCACCTTGCCAGGTACTTCGCTTCCAGGCATAACATAACCAAGAGCCTGGTTTCCCGATCCCAAAGGATCAAAAGGAGAACAAAAGGAAGCAGTAGGTGAAGTCAAACCATTTGTACTATATGAAGAAGAAAATGCAACCATATCATCGACAGCCCTATTCATGTCAGCTTCCCGCCAAGCCCATGAGCTATCATCAGAACTAAGAGAAGGAGGGCGAGAGAAAACTGTCCCTGGATGATCAGAAGGATTCCAGTACATCACACCACCGCCAAAGTACTGATTATAGTCTACCCCGGCAAATGCTTGCACCTCAACTTCATCCTCTGATATCCAGTGGCTCTCACATTCATCTGCTAGTTCATATGCCGTTGCTGGATCAGGTAGGTCCGTGCAATCCCAAGAATACTTCCTTTCGTTGTCCACATTTGTTGCATTAATCTTGACACTATGGGTGGAAAAAACCTGTGGAAAACTACAACGCTTCTTTGAGATGAATCCAGAATCATAATTAAAGGTTCGCGATAGAGCCAATCCACGAGCACTTCGAACCACTGGAGGCCAGTCTAAACTCATTGGCAGTGGTCGAGTCAGAATTGGATTACACCCGCCTTGAATTGGAGAACTTCTCGCCTGATGTATAGTTGGTAGGAAAGACTGGCGAAAGTGATTCTGCCAGTTATGACCAACATCCAGATGCAATCGGTCAGTGGCGGGTGGGAGATGTGGGTTAACAGGTGGATAATAGGCGCAAGCTACACCAGGCCACTCATATTGACAGCTTTCATAAGAACATGGGGTTCCAGTATCACATAGATGATTTCCATGTTCTTGGTCCCGAAACGGAATGGCTTCCTTTTCTATATCATCAACTCTCATTCCCCTGTCTGGTGCAACAACATCTTTTATATCAGATTTGCCAGCTTGCTCATTCTGAAAGTCAATATCTTTATGGCTGAAAACCTTATGATCCACTGCGGGCAGAGGAGAAGGTCCTACACTACCAGACGATTTTATTTGAATTTCAGTACTATTGTTTGATGAATTGTAATTTTCGGAAAATGTATGACTGGAACTTGCTCTAGAACCAACAGGATAATTCTCTTGAATGCTTTGGGTGGCATCGTTGTCATCCTTAGTTGGCCCATTGGCAGAACCAGGAGAAATCGAATTTGTCACAAGGATGCTACAACTAGCTGAATTATCACCAGTCTTGTTCTTGAAAGCTGAATCACTAGAAACCGGATAAGACTTTGCTGTGCAATCTTCAGGAATGACAGAAGAAGAAGAAGCTTCCATGACTGATCTTTCGGATTTTATTTTATCACCAGAATTCTTACAACCAGTTATTTTGTTTTTTCCTTTCTTTTTCCTACCCTTCCTTGCAGCAGTTTGAGCTTTTGCAACCACTGTTTGTGAATGTTCCTGATGACAAGCTACTAGTTACAAACCATTCAAATCATTAATGAGAAAGGTGATTCAAATTAAAAGAACGAGAATAACCATTTCATCTTTCGACGATAATGCCTCTTTGGAAATTTCCACCTCCTGATGTATACCAGGAATCTTCTTAGACTCCCCAGAATCTGCCTTTTTTTTATGAGCCAATGTACAATTACGATCCTGGCATAACACTGAAGCAATTAAAACCATCCACAAAATTTGTTGTGAATCCAAAAGGACATCAGCGAACTAAAGAGTACCTTGAGAGACTTTTCACACAAAAAATCATCCGCACATGACCTAGGAACAGGATTTGGCCTTTTCACATTGCGGGTCTTCCCCTTACTTTTACGGCTAAAAGCACTAGGCTTTGCCTTGGATTTCTTAGATAAGGGTTTTTCATTTCCATCTGCTAGAAGTTCCATTTTTGTGCATTCAAGCAAAATAACCATAAGAAATCCCCGTACTTTTCTTAATATAAAATCAGAAATGGTAGAAACTGAACTCAGCGTGCTATAAAAAAGTTTCCCTATATCATATTCACTATGGCTACATAAGGATATCATCATTACTATATCCTGAAGCAGAAAGAGATTATTAAAGCCAGCGACTAAGGAAGGTCTTCCAGAAAGAGAAGCCGGGATAATGCTTGACCCAAATTCTATGTCAGCCACAAGTTTTGGAACTGTCTTTTGCATAGATGCAATTTGGTTGTACCTCAGTGGTTGTTCTCCTCCTCTATTGAAGAGCCACATTTCATCTCCCGCCTCACTACATGTCTTCAGGATCTCAAGAATCTAAAGTTAAAATGAACTAAGTTAAGCTTCATTATAACAAACAAATAAATCAACCATCATATTGTAAGCTTCATTACAATATAAAGATTTCCAATTTTAGAACTTCAGTTAAAGGATATTAATGCATCATTCACCAAAACTCCTTTCCTTTGTTACCAATTAAATCCAATTCTCTAGCACAATAATTACAACTTAATTTATCAACAGAATCATTCAGAACCGTGTAAACCTATTACATTTCTCATACACTAGCACCTAAACACTATAAAACCATAAAGTTAGAGAATGTACCAAAGGTTTCGCTGCTTTGCCCAACACCGATGTCAAAACATTTCTCCTTGTTGCTGCATCCAAATTTCCCCACCAGTCTACACACCCCTTCTTCCTCCAATACACATTGGCCGCCAAGCCCACAGCGGTCATCTTTTCTTTCAATTTCACCCCTCTTTTCTTCCCATTACTACAATTCAGCCACGCCAACCTCAACGCCACCTCCAACCGATTCGCCACAAATGCTCCCATACTGTAATACCCTTTATCCTTCAACCACTTCAATTCGACCCAATCTGATCCCAAGTCACTCTCTTCCCCCCTCAAAAACCCCCCATTTGATATTTCATCCATTGCCTCCACAAACCCATCCAAATTCTCCACCAAATCCTCACTCACCGTAACCGTATCAATATCCCTCACCGAGCACGAACACCCCTCCACCTTTTCCCCTTCCCTCGAAGAAAACAACCGAGTCGACTCGAAAACCCTCCTCTCCAGCTCGTTCGACTCGGCCACCCGACACAGAAGCCCACTCGACCTCTTAAAACAGAGGGTGGGAAGGTCGCCGGAGGGGAGGTCAGGGAGGATGATGAAGAAGCCATGGCCGTTGGCGCGGACCCTGCCGAGCATTTGAACGAGGACCCGTACGAACTTGGGATCTACGGCGGTCAGGTGAGCTTGGCGCTGGTGGACGGTGAGAGATGAGAACCATTTGAGGATCGAGGACCTAGGGTTAGGGTTAGGGTTAGGGTTGGGTTTGAGGTCTGAGGAATTGGAGTGAGAGTGGAAGAGGGAGATGTGGGAGGTGAGCGAGTCAATGAGTTGGTCCTGAGTCATGAGCGATTCGTGAGGGAATTTAGGGTTTGGAATCGGCATTTTTGGGGTTGGGAGAGAGGTGAGAAAAATGGCGGAGAGAAAATGCGAGGGAATTTCGGGTTCGTGGTGGAATATCGCGGGTTTTGGGGGTCCGAGACTGGTTTTGAATTTTATCGGGTGGACAGGCGGCCGGTGGTGTTCCCCGGTGTGCCAACTGTTTAAAAATGCTTTAATAAATAAAAAATAAAACTGTTTTAAGTTTGCTTTGTCATCCAAAATGAAGATTTCGTCGTCACTTAGTACTATATTATAGTATTATTCATTTTTATTTGAAAGTAAGATGTTTTAAGTTTGATCTCGTTAAAGACGAATTTGAACCACATAATCAAAAGCTTATTGTAAGGCTGATCTACCATTTCCTGCTTAATGTAAATAATATTATTTGTTCGAGAATAAATTTTTGAAAATTTCACTACAATATTTATTTATTTATTTTTATTATATATTATCTATATCTAAATTACATATTAACACAATTCTCACTCAACTTAAATATATGAAGTTATCATTCTAACCCTCTAAGACCAACTCCAATAGTGGGCTAAAAGCCAGATTATCCCTCAAAATTTCCCCCCAAACCCACTCCAACCCAAGGGGAAATTTTGAGCTAAATGCTAAACCAATGCCAAATTTCCCCCGAAATTTTGCCTAGAAATTGGGGTGGACTCTACCCAATATTTATCGGAATTTAAATTTTTTTAGATTAAAATGTTCATAAAATTAATTTACGATAGTCTACGTATTTATTTTTTAAAAAAAATTAATTTAACAAAAAAAAATAGCCTAAGTTCATTCTTTAATAATCCCGGGCTAAAATTTTAGGGTAGAACAGTTGGAGTAGAGAAGTTGTTTTTGGGCTAAAAGCTAAATTTTTCGGGCTAAAAAATTTAACTTTTAGCCCAACCATTGGAGATGGTCTAATTAAACTAAACATAAATAAAAAAATATGAACAGTAATGTTATTTCACACAACCAAAATTTTGAACTTTTATTTTAAGTCTCACCTACATTTGAACTTACATGTGATTATGACATATCTCTAATTAAATAATAAAAAATAAAGTTCTCTTCCCACTCCCACATTCTTTCAATCTCTCTTACTCTCTTCCTCTCTCCTTCTATTTTAAAAATAAAAATAAAAAAATTTCTCAGGTACTTTGAGTTTGGCCATATGCTAGTGTATAAAGTCATAGGATAAAATTGGTAAATCATTCATAATTTCAAAAATGCACTTAAATACCATTCCTTAATTAGATTTATAAAAAAAACAATTTGATTTAAGAAAATCCAGAGTATTCACATAGTGGGCGGTTTTCTTTTTAACTTTTTTTAAAATAAAAATGTAAAAGAAATATTTAAAACAAAATAAAAAGAATAAAAAATACAAATAAAGAATAATGTGTAAAAGAGCAAGTGTGTGGCAAGAGGCTAAAATAGGTGTGGCCTTCAATAACCCTAAAATTCCTCATTTGAATAAAAAAATCAACACAAAAACAACCAGCTATATTAAGGATAATTTGGTAATATAACATGAAAAAAAACTTCCATATGTGCTTGCCTACATACCATGTTTTGGGTGAATCTTGAAGATGATTGTTTTAGTCCGTCAGATACAACACACATATACTACAGATTGATCCTAAACAATATAGGTTCTTTGATTAATGATCCCTCACATACTCCAAAAAGATTGTCCCACATATGATTTCGATGAGAAAAAAAAATGGTAATTATCCACCCACTAATCAGTGCAGTTTATTTTCAACTTACACGCTTTTGCCTTCTCAAATCCATGTCCTCCCAAAATGATTTCTTTTCAACTTCCTTAAAAAATCCTAATCACTACATCATAGCCACATGTAATGCCCTAAATCTTTCTGTTTTTTTTCTTACTTCTCTTGATAAATGAAATTATTCTCAGGGTTCACTACAAGAAAACAAGGAATATGTGACGAAAATAGTGGTGGCGCCCAGAAAATCATCATATATTACGAAGTGAAGAGATTTTAGAAAGCATCATATAAAAACTTTTGCATGTCTTGGAATATCTTTTAGATTATATGCGTCACATATAACTTTTAGATTCGTGACACATAAATGGGTGGGAAATTTCACCGTCCAAATGAAAGTATATTGATAACGAATTTAGAATGCGTCACATAATCTTTAGTAATGCAACACAATTACACGTGAGGCTAAAGATGCCTCACTGGTTGTATAAAGAAAACTATTCATAAAAGACACAAAAATTATTATTGTCACTCCAAAATTCTCATTTAACACTCCAAAATTCTCATTTGGCACTTCAAACTTTCTATATTTAGAAAGAAAAACTTAAAATAAATTAAATGAAACTTTTTCTTTCATCATCCATAAAGAAAAAGTTCAGTTTCACAAAGCCCCACTTCATCTATCTGCACTTTTTACCCACCCCCTCCGTCTCCTTCTCTTGCACAGAATCCAGTGGTTGCCATCATCAGCAACCACTGCGTCCCCTTCATCTACCTTTCTTGCCCACCCTCTCAATTTTTCTAATCGCACTATTTTTTTCTCTATTGCACTCTAATTTGTCTCACTACACTGATTCACTCTCGCCTTCAACACCCAGATACTTGCATCTTCAAGTAACTTGGTGGCTGCAGCAGGGTAAGGTCTTATTTCATCTTAATTTTGTTTTAGGTTATGCACAAGAACTTTTAATTGAATGAAATATGGCAATTTCCAAACTTATAACCCTAAAATCCATTTCAATTGAAATGATAATTGCATTTCATTTTGACAAATTAGTTGAATTGAATTCCCTGGGTGTTGAAATGTAAGCTAATTTTTATTCTTACATATTTTCGGATGGGCTTTTTTTATCAAAGCATGACTCGAATGATATCAAAAGTTGTGAGGTTCCCTAGGTGCTGAAATGTAATGCTAATTTTGATTCTTACATATTTTCGAATGGGCTTTCTTTTTTCTTTTTTTTTTAAATCAAAGTATAAATTGGTTATATCAAAAGTTGTGAGGTTTTGGAGGTTGTGAGGAAAAATACCACCGACTTTTATACTTTCATCTCGACAATTTGTATTTGAATTATATTTTATTTTGTCAAATCATCTTTCCTATTTATAATTTTTTTAGTCGCAACCGGGGGCTCGAGTCTCAGCCGAGTCTATAAATAAAGAATTCGTTTTTAATATACAATGAAGAAAACATATTCTCAAGCATAAAGAAGCACCCAAGCTTAAAGAGTTAAATGCTATGTTCTACCTCATATTGGGAATACTCATGATTTTACAGGTAAAAATGATCTCGATATATGTAACTCATTTTTTCATGGGTAAATGCTTGCATAGAAAATCATTTATCTTTGCTACACCGTTGTCACAAAGGAACTTGATTCTCAATTGTATCGTCAAATTTGAAGTGAGAAATTCTTGTATGCATTCAACCATTATGGAAGGCTTTGGCGAAGTAAGCATCCATTATTGTGGTTGTGTGAGCAAATTTTTTACAGCAACGTCCTCCAACTATATTACTCATAAGGAAAACCCAATTCAGAAGAATTATAATAGTATTTTGAAACTCTACTAAATTCAAAGTCTGCAGATTCACTTAAATTAAGATACACTAAGTTTTGTTGAAGTTTTCAATGTGTAGGAGTATGTAGTTTTGGATATTTGTTGTTTAGCATCAAGTATTTTAATTCTCACTCTCATTTGTAACAAAACAAACCTTTGACCTATATGTGGTGTGTTGTGCAGTGTGTTTTCAAGGAATCAGCAACGAGATGAAAATACAACTCAGACAAAATCTCTTATCATGTTATGGAGAATAAAACGATCAAGTTCCAATCTATATACTTTTTTCTTATCTATTAATGCATAGAATATTTGGATGTTTAAGATAAAATTTTTATTGATCCTGTCACTTTATTAGTTTCATATGGCTTTTATGTATACACATACGCACATCCTATGAATGACATACCCTAACTGGTCCTTGTTGAAATATATATTTCCCTCTTTTATGTAATTTCCATATCTAGCTACTCAAAATTATTTTAGTCTAAAACAAATAGTATTTAGAAAAGAAGTCTTAGTAAGTTAATATTGTGTTAAAATACAAGTGGACATCATGGACAAACAATGGATTTGTAATCGAAATCTCCTTAGTTTAGAGTATAGAGAAGAGGTCAAGTCATTCATTGACGTTGCTTGTCACCTTGTGAACCAGAATAATTAGATATCATGTCTTCTAAAGTTTGCCATAACATAATTTTTTTCATTATGTTGAAGACGTTGATCTTCATTTGTTGAATTCTGGTATGGATATGAATTATGATATATGGATATATCATGGGGAGTGAATCCATTAAGTGCAAAGATGAACTTTAGGATTTACGAATGATGAGGCAACTAGTAATCCTAATGGCATCATGGTCAGTATAAATGAAGCTCAAATGGAACTATACCCTGGATTCAATGAATATGCAGTTTTGACATGTGAAATTGATCCACAATAAAGTTGACAACCATATGACTGACAAGGTAGTTGATAAGATGTTAGTAATGATATTGGCAAGTCTTAGATTGGGGTATGAGAATATCCATGCTTGTTACTACAATTGTGCATTGTCCTATAAAAACATGAAAATTAAAGATAGTTGTCTAGTGTGTAATGAGCCAAGGTATAAGGCTTGTGGTTGTGAGCAAAAAACAAGAAAGTTCCCAAAAAAGTATTGCGTTATTTTTTCACTTAAACCAAGGTTGCAAAGGTTGTTCATGTCAAGACATACGAGCAAAGACATGAGGTGGCACAAGGATAAAAGAGTCAATGATGTGAATACAATGAAGCATCTAGCAAACTTTACTGCTTGGAAAGAGTTTAACAAAAGGTACCTTGATTTTGCTCGAGACCCACGAAATGCTAGATTGGGCCTTATGACTAAAGAGCTTAATCCTTTTTCGAAT